ACTTGTTTTATAAACTTGAAAAGTAAATATAATATACACTCAGAAAGCACACATAGCACAAGTGTACAGCCCAATAAATATTTACAAAGTAAACATACCCATCAGTTAGCACCAGATGAGGAAAGAGAACGTCACTGGCATTCGAGAAGCTGTTCCCAGGGCCCAACCTAGTCATACATCCCCTCCTCTACAAAAGTAAATTATCTTGACTTCTATTGCCTAGTTTCAAATTTTATATAAATGGAGTCATACAACATATTCTCTTGTGTCTTGCTTCTTTTGCTAAATATCATCTGTGTTGTTGCTCAAGGCAGCTTATTTTCATCGTTACGTATTATTCCATTGTATGAACATACTGTAGTTTGTTCCTGCTTCTATTGATGGACTTTTGGGGTTTTCCAAGTTTGGACAATGCTATGAACATTCTTGTACATGTCTTTCAGTATATATTTCTGTCGCTGGCTTGTAGAGTAGGTGTATGCTTAGTAATAATAGATATGCCAAACCATCTTCCAAGGTGTTTATACCAGTTTAAATTGCGATTGATGCCTTACGTTTTTACAGGATCACTCTGGCTGCTGCATTGTGAAGTGACTGTGCAAGGGTAAGGGTGGTTGGAGGAGGACTAAGGTCGTGCAGTAACCCATGTGTGGTAAGATGGGGCTCAGGCCAGAGCAGGAGTATTGGAGATGGTGATACGTGGTTGGATACTGGTTACATTTTAAAGGTAGGATCAACAGGAATTTCCTGACAGGTTGGATATGGAGGATAGAAAAAGAGAGGAGGCCAGGATGTGTTCACGGCGTTTGGCCTAATCATGTTTATGGACAGAACTGTCATCACCTGAGATAAAGCTGGGCAGCCGGTTAGAGAGAAGATCATTAGTTCCATTAGGGCCTGTTACGTTTGAGATGTCTATTTGACATCCAGCTGGATTGTCAGGGAGGTGGCTGGAGTTCAGGAGAGAGGTCTGAGTCATTGATACAAATTTGGGAGTCGCTGGCAAATGATATATTGATCAGGGTCCAATTGGGAAAAAGAAACCACACTGTAATTTGAACAGGCAAAATTTATGTTAAGAATTATTACAGGATGGTATTTTACAATTCAACAGTTAAAGGCTAGGACTTCTGTGGAAGTATCTCTTTCTCATTTCCCTTCTTCCTCAACCCTCTCCTTCCCTTTCCTCTTTGAAATTTAACCTGGTGGATGTGGACTTATTGCTGCTGAGAGCCATCTTGATACCAAATGAAGCCTAAATACAGAATCCATGATAAAGGAAAACATAACCGCAAATGGAGAGATGTGCCATTATGTGTGCCCTTGAATCAAGCTTTTCTTGAAGTAATTTATACTCTTGGGCCTGTCAGCTCTATTAACCAATACATTCTCCATTTGCCCAATCCAGTTTGGATTCTATTTTCTAATACTACAGGAAGAGTTATAATACAGATGCTTAGTTTTCAGTGTGTTTGCAGTATTTTCTTGAGAAATATTAGTTTCTCATTTCTCCTGTATTAGCCTTGGTGTCAAACTACCTGGTTTAAGTCTTGATCCTGACACTGTTAAGAAATCACCAGCTACTAAAGCTCTCTTTGCCTCATTTTCCTTAGTAATAAATTGACAATAAAAATATACCTTACTGACAGTGGTTTTGTGAGGAATACATGAGATGAAATGTAAAATGCTTACTAAGGTGTCTTTCACATGCTAAATAAATGTTAGCTATTTTTACTGTTTAACAATTAAATAGTGGTTATTATTTTCCATTGCTGAGAGATATTTGATTTATTCTGCAGTGTGTTTTGCTACAAATCTGCATATTTTTAGCCTTTAATTTCCCAATTACTGAATTTTAAGGCTTGTAGTGTGTTCCAGAATAAATCATCCATATCACTATTGCTGAAGTGTGTGTAAACATAATCTCTTCCTATAACTTATTTTGTACATGTCATTGGTGACATATCATAGCCTATGAAATTCTCTTATTTAAGAAACTTATAACAAATGATAAAAGGAGAATATAAAATTACTGAATTAACTGTGCAAAAAACCCCAAGAATTATTAACTACAACAGGGAATTAGAGCAATGAGTAATGGACTTAGTAAGAAGTAAAGAGAACTCTAAAGCCTATAAGAACAGCAGATGTGAGGAGCAGCCGCTATCCTAGGGTGGAGGTGGAGGGCCCAGGAAGAGGTCCCTCCCCCAGCCCCATACTTGCCCCCCGACCGCTGAGATCCAGACCTCATTGGAGGGGTGTGGCCATGGCCTACCAGTGTCAGGGGAGTCCCTGTGGTGCTGCATCACTGGAACTTGTTGGAAATCCCTCTTTAGGTGCTGGGGAAAGGGGCGGTGTCTTGGGAGAGTCACGCCACGACAGAACTGCTGGGAAGTTGGGATGGGGGAATGGGGGGCTGCTGGCCACCACATACCGGAGGAGCTGGCCCTGGAGAAGTACCCACCTTCAGAAGCCCAGCCAGGAAGCACAGCAGAACCAGGAAGAAAGACTGCTTCCTCCTGCAAAGTCTCTCCGTCACCCTCTATTGACAAAACCTAACATCATACCAGTGTCAAAGTAAATATAAAGGGCCTAACTCCATTTTTGCAGAGTGGGTAATGAAGGATGAATTTGTAGCACAGTTACAGTCAATCAGTGACTGATACAGATGGCATATAAAACTAAAAGACAGAATGAAATCACCAAGGGAATAAGTATAGACACAGAAGAAGACCAAAGGCTGAGCCCTGTGGGCTGTCACTTTAATAGGTCAGGCAGGAGTGGGAGAACCAGCAAAGGCCACCATGGAGGAGCAGCCAGGGTGGTAGGTGGTATTCTGGGAGCAAAGTGAATCAAAGAATAGGAGGAGAGGAACCAGAAAACATATTGACAGTTCTTTTGTGAAATTTTGCCTCAAAGGGGAGCAGGGGAAAGGTGCAGTAACAGACAGAGGAAATGGGGTCAAGTGGAGTTCGTTTTGAAGATGAGAGAAATAACTACGTGCTGTGTGATGGGAATAGTCCAATAAAGACTGATGATGCTGGGGAGAGAATAGACGGGCTGGAGTGACGCCCTGGAGTAGTAAGGGATGATGGGATCCAGCACTCAAGTACAGAATTCCTTTAGGTGGACACAGGGGTAGTTCATCTACAGTAACAGGCAGGCAGCAGAGAGGGACACAGCTGGATGTGGTGGAAGTCTTTGGTGGCGGGAGTCTCCACTTCCATTTTCTCAGTGAAGTAGAAAGCAAGGAAGGGGGAGGTGGTGAGAAGGATTGAAGAGAGAAGAGGAGGTGTGAAATACACATTTAGAAGAATGGCATAGACCAGGCAAAGTTAGAATTATTAAAGTGAGGGTAGTCAGCATGGTTCTGGGTTTTCCTCCAGCCATGCACTGCTGTAGTATGGAGTAGATGGGCAATTGGCTTTATCCAGGGCTCTCAATTTACCAAACAGGTATGATGAGGCGACAGGGAGGTGAGGGAGTTGAGGATGCAAGACACTGCTGATAATGATTGACCATGGAGTTTAAGCTAGGTTACTAGGGAGGGAGAAGTCATAAGGGAATAAGGTAGTACGATGTGGGTTGGAGGTGTGGGCAGGGTTACGAAATCTTGATTTCAGGGCATTAGAGGGCATTATAACCTGTATTATAACAGGTTATAGAGGGCATTATAACAGGCATTAGAGGGCATTATAACCTGTAAAGAAAGCAGGTGGTGGTTATAGTGGGATGCTTCCAGGTTTCCATTCCTTGAACGGGACAAAGTCTAGGGTGTGTGATCACAGGGAGAGTGAGAGTCTGAGGTAAGAAAGAGGATAGGAGTGGGATTCATGGAGCCAAGAGGTTGTTAGAAGGATTACGTACCTGTACACTGAAATCTCCAAGAAGTGAGGGGAACAGTGTTGCAGGGTGTCACAAAATTATAAGCTCTTCACAGATGAGAGAAGTGTGTGCCCTATACAGTAGCCTCCCAAGCACAGCACAGAATGTGTAGTGTAGGCAGAGTGAATACCTGTGGGATGCTGAGGAAGAGAACAGGTCCGCTGTGAAAAGGCATGAAGCATAGATGAGCCTAGTTTTGTGAGGTAGAAGAACTGAGCCTCGGGTGCTTTGGTGGGATCATATTGAAAAGAAAGCCTCCAAGACGAGGGAGATTCAAACTCTGAAAATGTACCTAGCTTTGTAGGCACTAGGGCATTCCAGCTCACCCGAGAGGTGGGAGTGGGCAGAGCCCTGGGAAGGCAAAGCTGTGCTTCAAGAAAACGGCAAGACGGGCATCCCCCAGGGAAAGCTTTTTCCTGCAACAGAGAAAGGCCAAAGCATTTCGTGCTGGGTCAGTCTGTCCCTGCCCTAAGAGTCTGTTGGTCCCAGCAAAAGAGGGTCCTAGCACTAAAGACGTACGAGAAATCTCCAGCTCTGTCATCTTTAAGGATGAGCAAGCGGACCAACCACTGAGACTCCCAGCCGAGTGCTATTCCATTGGGCCAGTCGGAGGACGCAGTGCCTGGGGCTTTAGGAGTGGGCCGGCGCAATGACTCCGGGATGACCAGGATAAATGTGTTATTTCTGGCTTTTGTCCCGAACCAGGGAGCGGGTACCATGCCGCACCGTCACCACGGCCTCCGGGTGAACTCGGTCGTGCGCAGCACCCGCGGCTCGGAGACTCAGGGTATCACCAGGGCAGTGCGGACGCTGCGCTGCGAAGCGGCGCCCTGCGGCGCGGCAGCGGGTCGGGGCGGGGCGGGGCTCCAGGTGGAGAGCACCGCGCAGAGTTTGCCGGCGTCCGCCCTCAGCCAATCACGAGCCGTCCTTCGGCTTTCCCCTGAAAGTCGTCCCTCCGCAGTTCTCTTTCTTTGGCCTCCTTGTTTCCCCCCGGCGTGTAGAGTCCTCGGGTACGTTGCATTTCCGTTTCCGGCGCTGTCTGTGCGGGCCTGAGGAGGAGCAGCAGTTGCGTTCCCGGTAACGGTCGCGTGCTGGGTTAGGCGGCGGCAGTGGGGTCTTCGGGGCTGGGACTACGGGAGGGTCGCGAGTCGCGCGCGTGGTAAGGTCCTCGCTCGGTTCTCCCGGACAGTCTGCCCCCGGGCAGCGCCTCGTGGCCCGGGCAGACATATTTGGTACCTGCAGGAGAAGTGCTGAATGAATTCGCGCAGAGAGCCGGGACCGGGAGGGGAGGTGACAGGGAGAGGTGAGAGGTCGTTTCCTACCGGGGTAATCCTAGCAGGTGACTTAAACCGGAGCCAGATCTGTGGACTCCAGATTGTGCTTTTCCCACCCCTATAACCTCGAAAAAAGGAGGAAGGCATCAGTACAAGTCGGAACCCAAATATAGTGGAGATGAAAAATAATGTCTCTGGAATTTTACAGCTGTTTAGTGAAAGCGTTCCTAGAACCCAGCTCTCCTGACTCCCGGCTAGGATTTTTTGACATTATGCTGGTATATGTGGACTTTCTGTTTCCTCTGGTGTGTGTCCGTGGGAAACCTCTGGCTGACCTCCAGCGGTTGTGCAGACTTCTGATGCGGCCCTTATAGCATGGTACAGAAGACATGGGTTTGTATTTCTTCCACTAGTTCAGATCGCAGCTGTAGCCATCTCCATGCACAATGCCTAGTGCATTATAGGCCGATGCAAATATATATCGAACTGAAATGAATTCAGTACCTTAATTGAATGAAGTGACCCCCCCCTTCTTTTTTTCAAGCAAGCGCAGCAGATTGTATGTGACACAATTTTCTAAAGAACTCTCTAATCCATTGGTTTCCCACTTATGGGCCATAAATTCCTGGGCCTCTCAGAAATCATTGTAAGGGTTTCTACAAATCCATGTGGTGTCCAGGCATCATCCAGAGTCAGTCAGATCTCACGCACGGAGATACTGCTGTTTTTTAAAGGCATATAGATGAGCATTAGAACTTGAAAATTTTACATATTCAACAGTTGTAAAAGTAATACTGCTATTATGTTGGAGGGTTGTTAAAATGATTTAGTTTTTCAGAATAAAATATCTTAAAAATAGTGTAAGTTTGGAGGCCACTTCATTAGTCCAGTTGATATTTAGGGCTGAGTTAGTATGATAACCACTAGTCACATATGGCTATTTAAATTTAGAGTTGAATTAATTAAAATTAAATAAAACTTAAAATTCAGTTTCTCAGTTTCACTAGGTACATTTTAAGTTCTCAGTAGCTACATGTGGCTGGTGGCTACTGTGCTGAAAAATATAGAATATTTTCATCATTGCAGAAATGGACAGTGCTAATGTAGACATTTAAGACAAATAAAAAGTAACTTAAGCAGAGGTAACTAATTTATAGCATAATAGAGATAAGTGAAATTGGTGATAATTATTTTATATTATTTGTCTTTGGCTGCGTTGGGTCTTCGTCGCTGCGCCCGGGCTTTCTTTAGTTGCAGTGAGCGAGGGCTGCTCTTCGTTGCAGTGCACGGGCTTCTCGTTGCGGTGGCTTCTCTTGTTGTGGACCACGGGCTCTAGGCATGCCGGCTTCAGTAGTTGTGGCACGAGGGCTCAGTAGTTGTGGCTCGCGAGCTCTAGAGCTCAGGTTCAGTAGTTGTGGCGCACGGGCTTAGCTGCTCCGCGGTGCGTGGGATCTTCCCAGATCAGGGCTCGAACCCGTGTACCCTGCATTGGCAGGCGGATTCTTAACCACTGCACCACCAGGGAAGTGCCAAAAGTCGGGATAATATTAAGCAGTTTCCACACCTGTTGGGTAAATAAATATATATCTCTTCGTAAAGAAGTAAATGAAATTTACTGTTTTTCTCTGGGTGTTTTCTGGATTGTAAAATGCTTCCCCTGCCCCCACCCAACTCACTGTAGGTTAGAGTTAGTTGTGGATTGGTAAAAAGCTACTATGGAGACGAAGGACCAGAAGAAACATAGAAAGAAAAACAGTGGGCCCAAAGCTGAAAAGAAGAAGAAACGTCATCTGCAGGACCTCCAACTTGGAGATGAGGAAGATGCCCGGAAGCGAAACCCCAAAGCATTTGCAGTCCAGTCTGCTGTGCGGATGGCGAGATCCTTTCACAGGTATGTTTAGCTGGAGTCTAGTGGTTCTTCCAATTATTCTTTTTAAATAGTAGGAGCCTCTCCAGAGGTTTGGATTCACGAGTCTGTTCCAACTCTGAAGGACATGGAGATGCAAGTCATATTTCTTTTACTGAAATGTGAGAAGTCTTTGCTGTGGACGTCACTTTGCCTCCAGCATCTGCACACTGATTGGGTTCTTTTGTCCAAGAGAAAAAGAGTTTTTCTTTATAAAATTTGTTTTGTTTGTAAACTTTAAACAATCTCTATGGTAACAGGTGTGCTTGTGTTATTTTCTGGATATGTTTCATATAATTGGAGTATGTAGTATTAAACAGCTTTATTTAATGGGTCCTTATTATATGTACTTTAAAGGCAGTGTACTTTAAACATTATTGAATTAACTTCTCCTAGTAGGAGAGCCAAATTTAACCCAATAGCCTCTCCTTTTATTTATTATGGTACACTGCCTCCATGTTTGCCTCTTGTTTTCTTTTTAAACTATTAAAGTCAACTAATAAGGCAATCAGATTTAAGGTGTGTATAGTTTTCAGCTCTGCTATTGTGTTGTATGTATTTACTGAAGTGGTTATTTGGATTGGCGCCAGAAGTTAACAAGCTAATTGTATTCACATATTGTCTGTTCTGCTCTCTTTAAAGTTTGTGCTTCTAGGGATGATGCCTTTTATATTTTGAAAGTGAATTTACTTTTTTTTTTTTTTAAACAAATAGGACTCAGGATTTGAAGACAAAAAAGCATCACATTCCAGTGGTTGATCGAACTCCACTAGAGCCCCCACCAATAGTGGTAGTGGTGATGGGGCCCCCAAAAGTTGGAAAGAGCACTTTGATCCAGTGCCTCATTCGGAACTTTACCAGGCAGAAGCTGACAGAGATCAGAGGCCCCGTAACAATCGTGTCAGGTAGGAGGTGCTGTCACAGACTGACATGGCAGGTGTTGTCATCTGTGGGACATGCATGTCTTTGTTTAACATTTTCTTCACTGGTAAATGGTAAAGTAATATTGTCACTCCATGTTACTGCTCTTGTACTTTTATTAAGGTGGCTGTAGCTTCAGAAAAGGATAGATTCCCAGAGATAATAATGGTGTAGATGTATACCTATTGTAACTGTTGTATGGATTTGCCCGCGGCAGGCCTGGGCAGGCTGGCTTGATTATGGTGAGCACCTTCATTTAACAGATAGTGAGTACCTGCTATGTACCAGGTGCACTTGTTTGCCCTCCTGAAGCCACGTTCTTGTGGAAGTGAGGGAGTTTTTCCTTTCTTTTTCCTGTGAGAACTTGTCTGCTCTGGGAAATGGTGATGTTTCTAAAGTCTGAGGGAGGATGAAACAAATTCCCAGATGGCAGTGGTAGAATCTGAAATCTCTTCTCATAGTAATAATATAGTTGGATTGAGGCTTTTCTTTTTCTTTAAGGCATTCCCATCATTTTGACTGATTTCTTTTAGCTTAATTTAGAAATAATGATTGCTCCATGAACATTCTGTTGCATTAGGTTTGAGGGTTTTTTTCGCTGTAGTGAGAACAGGGGAAGCTTTGATAGAGATAGAAGCTTTGGCCCACTGCCGAACAGTAGGATCACAGCCATCATGAAGCCTACTTGTCTGCCCATTCCAGTTGGAATTTTACCTATTTGAGCACTTGATTCTTATGGGTGGGCTTTTGATATTATTTTAAAATTAGAGAACATAACAAGAAAACTAATTTACTTTATTTGATATTTACTTTATTTGATCAGTTTTCTCCTATAAAAATGAACTTCTGGCATACTCTTGTGAATGTACAAGGTGCTTTACTAGATGCAATTAAAATAATAATTAGAGTTAACAGATTTTTTTGCAAGGCTTTTTAAAAGTAAAATTTTCATCTTTTCACTTATAGGTAAAAAGCGCAGACTCACCATTATTGAATGTGGATGTGACATTAACATGATGATTGATCTGGCTAAAGTAGCAGATTTGGTAAGTCATTGGGGGCAGCATGGGTTTCTGATGGGGATTTACAGCAATGTGATAGGTTATTTATCCCATGTTGAAGGGAAGAAAGATTTAAGATTATTAAAAAAATGATGAGTATCATCAGGGATACAAAAGGTGTGTTTGAATTGATGATGACAATAATTGTTATAGTAAAAATAGAATGTGCATAATGAAATGTATTCTGAAATCTAAAAGTAGACCGTAGGTCAGAGAAAACCTTTAATGAATGTAGCTAATAAAAACTCATTAAGATATGCATACATACATACAAGTTTATAATAGGACCATTTCTTGGACCCTAGTAGGCACTGTGCTAACAGCTTTCTACAAATTTAGCTCATCTAATTCCCCAGTATGCCTTAGAGGTAAGTAGGTGTTATCTCTAGTTTACGTATGATGAAGTCGAGGCTCCCAGAAGTTAAGCAATTTTTCTGAGGATGAGAATTCTGCTCTTGTTGGTGCCAGAAACTCTGTTCTTAAAGATTATGATAAAATATGGATCTTTTTACCATGTTGGGTAAAAAATCTCATGGATTACCCTTGAGAAGTTGTCAGAGTTTATAATAGAAAATCTATACTGCACTCAGCATCTGGAAATTGTACAGCCTTGATTGCATTTACAGAAATGTTAATGTCTGTTAATTACCTTTAAAACTAGCAAAAATAGGGTTTCCCTGGTGGCGCAGTGGTTGAGAGTCCGCCTGCCGATGCGGGGTACATGGGTTTGTGCCCCGGTCCGGGAAGACCCCACATGCCGTGGAGCGGCTGGGCCCGTGGGCCGTGGCCGCTGAGCCTGCACGTCCGGAGCCTGTGCTCCGCAACGGGAGAGGCCACAACAGTGAGAGGCCCGCGTACTGCAAAAAAAAAAAAAAAAACTACAAAAAAAAACCCAAAAAGGAAAAAAAAAATTAAACCGTATTGATTAGGAAGTGTGGGGTAACGGATACCTCGTTGGTTTTTTTTTTTTTTTTTTTTAACACCTTTGAAGAGCTGTTTGGGACAATGAGCTACAGATTTTACCCTTTGACTCAGGATGTCTCCTAAAACTAAAATAAAAAGTAATTTAATATAGATGTTACAGTTGTACCATCTTAATATCAGAAAATAAGTACCATTCAAATTTTGAATATGTAATGCTGCCATTAATAAAAATAAGTGTGTTATTGCCAACACAAAATAGTATAAACTTATTAAATCTTGTGTACTTGAAATGATTGAAATAGTTCAGCATGTCATTAGTTTCTCTTTTATGTAACATATATTGTATACTAATCTTAAAAGCATACACATATTAAGAAAGATGCCTTTCATATACATCTTTTTAAGATTTAAAAAGGAACGCATGCATTTGGTAAGATATTCAAACTGTGCTACAGGGTATGCATGATGCATGATTTTGCTTTCCTTGCTCTGACCCCTAGTCTCTCAGTCCCCCTCAGCAGTATTTTCCAGATACGTATATAAATAGACATATAACCCTTTTAAAGCACACACTGTTTATCATACACAGCGTTCTGTGCTTTGCTTTCTTTCACTTAGCATGTCTTGGAGGTGTAAAATAAGCACTAAGTTCAACCTCATTATTTTTAAGTATTCTGTTGTATGTACCATTATTTATTTAGCCTAGCTTAATGTTTTTTATTTTTGTTTTATTTATTTTTGGCTGCAATGGGTCTTTGTTGCTGTGTGCGGGCTTTCTCTAGTTGCGGCGAGTGGGGGCTACTCTTGGTTGCGGTGTGCGGGCCTCTCATTGCGGTGGCTTCTGTTGTGGAGCATGGGCTCCAGGTGCGTGGGCGCTAGGCGCGTGGGCTCTAGAGCGCACGCTCAGTAGTTGTGGCGCACGGGCCCAGTTGCTCCACGGCATGTGGGGTTTTCCCAGACCAGGGCTCGAACCTGTGTCCCCTGCGTTGGCAGGCAGATTCTTAACCACTGCACCACCAGGGAAGCCCAGCCTAGCTTAATGTTGATTGCTCTGTTCTGGGTCATAAAGCTTCCTAAGTCACAGTGAAGGCACACAGTACATGGATTCGTGCGTGTGTGTGTGTGTGTGTGTGTGTGTGCGTGCCTGCACATGTATGAACATTGGAGGAGTAATAGAGGCTTTACTTATCTTTAGTCGACAAAGATTGTCAGCTCAGGGACTGTTTGCCACCCACCTGTTCTTCTGACTCTACAACTGATTGCTTGCAACTTGTCACGCCATGGTATCAAATGGGGTGTAGGAATACTCCACAGCCAGCCCACACAGCTATGCTTCCTCATGATGCTCAGTGGTCCACCTTCATGTATTTTGTGGTTTAGGATTATGAATGTTCCCTAGTTTAATCAAAGATTAAGTTTTTCTGTTCTTTTTTTTCAATTATTTTTAGTTAGCTACAGAAAGATGAGGACAGAGATGTCTTAAGTCGCTAGGAATCAACTATGAAATTGTTTTGCATGTTTGAAGAGTATAAATTTTAAAAATTGGTCTTATGTACTTATATTTTCTTACAGATTACCATCCATGACTGTCCTTTGACTCAGTTCTGAACTGGTAGACTTTTTTAGTTTCTGAGCAATTGCATGTTACCAATTAACTTCTAAGGTAGAGCTTTCTTACTACATACTTCCCAGTGGAAAACTTTTTTTCCCCTGAGGAGATTGAAACAAAAATGTTTGGCTTTCTTCATGTTTTTGATGCTTTTTTTCATTGATTACCACTTCCTCCCATTCTTTTGGATATCAGAGATCTGTTGTTTGGTTTCCTTGTTAGAGATCTGTTATTTGGCTTAAGAACACCTTACAAAAAACTTTATTTCTTGGGCTTCCCTGGTGGTGTAGTGTTTGGGAGTCTGCCTGCCGATGCAGGGGACGTGGGTTTGTGCCCCGGTCCGGGAAGATCCCACATGCTGCGGAGCAGCTGGGCCCGTGAGCCATGGCCGCTGAGCCTGTGCATCCGGGGCCTGTGCTCCGCAACGGGAGAGGCCACAACAGTGAGAGGCCCGTGTACCACAAAAAACAAAGAAACAAACAAATTTTATTTCTTGAAGTGAGGACTTTTCAGGTAAGGGCCAAATTAGATCCGGTCCTTTCTGAGTTATTTCTCATATATGCACATTCTTGAAACATGGTTGAGACTGTGTCAAGGTTGCCTTTTAGAGCAAGTCAAAGGATAGTGTTTTCTCTATCATGGTGATTCCCTAAATAATCATTTGATTTAGTCTAGAGCAGGAGTTGGTGAACTTTTTCTATAAAGGGCCAGATAGTAGATATTTTAGGCTTTGTAGGTCCCAGTTTCTATTGCAATCACTGAACTGTGGTTGTAGCACAAATGTAGGTGTAGACAATATGTAAACAAGTCAACATGGCTGCGTTCCAATAGAACTTTAGTTATAAAACAAGTGATGGGCCAGATTTGGCTCATGAGCCATAGTTTGGTGATGGTCTATTTTGGGTAGCCTCCTTGAGAAATTGTGTCTTCTGTTTTTAGGTTCTGATGCTTATAGATGCCAGCTTTGGGTTTGAAATGGAAACATTCGAGTTCCTAAACATCTGTCAAGTACATGGCTTTCCTAAAATTATGGGTGTTCTCACTCACCTAGATTCCTTTAAATATAATAAGCAACTGAAGAAGACAAAGAAGCGACTAAAACACAGGTTCTGGACAGAAGTCTACCCGGTAGGAAGCGAACTAGTTATTGAATACTAACACTCTAATCCTTTAAAAATAGAATGAGTGGGAGAGATTAACAAACATCTTTACAGGATCACCTCCTTAGTTTCCTTATTATATCTGTTCATAGTCCCTAGAATATTTCCTTGAGATAGTCTTTATTCCGGACCTCTTGATGTGTCTCATTTGTCTCTGCATCCCCCAGCACCAGGCAGTGTCTGGCTCTAAGTATTTTGGATTTGTAATTTAATAGAATTTGTCCAAAGTTTTTCCTTGTTACAGGACCAGGAACTGTAGCGCACACATACTGCCACTCCTTCCTCTCCCCCATACTACTGTGTTGTGTCCCATCGGTCATAAAATATTTTCTGTGCCCTGGAGCCTCACTGTCCCTTATGTATCCATACTCCAGATAGATGCCACCGCTTGACTTGAAACTAAATATATTTGCAGTTCTGTCCATACAAAGCCCTAAAAAGATGAGTCCTGAAAGAAGCCAGAGAAGTTCTGGAAGCATTGGCATAGTGGGTCAATAGAAGTCTCCCTTTCTTAGGATTGCTTCTTATTTAAAGCCCTTTATTTTGGTGCAGTGTTGACAAGAATTTCATTGAAATTTAATTTTTTGTTTTTCTTAATGTTTAGGGTGCCAAGCTATTTTACCTTTCTGGAATGGTACACGGAGAATATCAAAACCAAGAAATTCACAATCTGGGCCGTTTTATTACAGTTATGAAGTTTAGGCCTCTTACATGGCAGACTTCTCACCCTTATATTCTGGCAGACAGGTAAAAAGTGAATGCAAACTTTTTCTTCCTGACCCATATGTTTCAAGGCTAAAAAGTTTGGAAAAGAACAATAATAGAGCTTATTTTGTCTTATTATTGAATAGTGGTGAGAGAAATGTACTTGATGGAAAATATCTACTTTTTTTGTATCATTACTTAAAGATGCTGTGGCTTCAGGAGTAAAGTATGAAATGTTTAGAAAAATGTGAGGATTCTGAAGCATTTAAAGCTACAGGATGTGGGCCCCATCCTGCTTTTTTATCCTTAATTTTCAGTGATGCTGCCTTTGGACTGTAGTGCTCCAGTCACTCAGATGTGCCCTGTGCTTTCCTTCCTTTATGCTTTTTTCATATATTTTGTCAGCCTGGAAAACCCTTTCTCCACCTGCCAAAATCCAAGCCACACTAAAAAATCCAGGTCAAAGCTTAATCTTCTTCCATAAATGGTTTTTCTGGATATGTTCTCTACTTTTCCTCAACTCCAGGGCCATGTTGTTTCCCATTTTTGGTGTCTTGCTTGTGGAATGTGTATCCTGTAGAGCCTGAGAGAGATGCAGTCATGTGTTTTTCCCTTTGCCCCTGGTAGATGGTGAACTCTGCTCCCTTATTTCTGTATTTTCTATACTTTTCTAAACAATATGTGTAGTGGATTACTGAATGTGATGAATCACTGAAATGTGAAGAGAGGTACAAGAACTATGACATTTATTTCTGCCATATAATTGGGTTTTATTTCTCTAGGATGGAAGATTTGACAAACCCAGAAGATATTCGAACAAATATCAAGTGTGACCGAAAGGTGTCTCTTTATGGTTATCTAAGAGGAGGACACTTGAAAAATAAAAGCCAAATTCACATACCAGGTATCCTTTTGTTGTAAAATATACTATATTTGTAAAACTCTTGGGATGACTTCATTTCTCAGGAAAACTGAAAAATGGCCAAACAAGATAGAGCCATCTTCCTGGAGGTTTTAAGAGTTAACTCAGCATTGGCCACCCAAGGTGTTGAGTTGACCAAATTTCCTCTGCTCTGATGGTGTTTAGCTAAAGAGATACAGTGCTAGTGTCAAACCGTGCCCTTGTTGCGGTTGAAGCCTTCCGACCGTGGGCCATTTCTGCCACCAGTCACTTGTCAGCTGAAGCTATCTTCCTGTGTCTGTCTTCCAGGTGTAGGAGATTTTGCTGTGAGTGACGTCAGTTTCCTCCCAGACCCCTGTGCCCTTCCTGAACAGCAAAAGAAGCGCTGTTTAAATGAGAAGGAGAAGTTGGTGTATGCACCTTTCTCTGGAGTTGGTGGTGTGCTGTATGACAAAGATGCGGTCTATGTTGACCTTGGGGGCAGCCATGGCTTCCAGGAATCGGTGAGAGGGAAGTCACGGGAAGTTATGTAGTCACCTTTTATTTACTGAAGCTTTTTATCTTTAGTCATATTTATGATAAAGGCCACAGTGCATATTGTAAATGTTCAAAATACTTAAATTGCACCAAGCAGAAAGTAAAAGTCACAGCCTCCATACCTCCCTGCTGCCGAGACACACAGGGGATCCCATGTCCCCAGTGTGAGCTTTGGAAGCAGTTTGGTGCCTGTACTTCCCATTTCTCATCATATAAAATCAATATGTTTTCCAGCTCTCTTTGGTCATTCTCTTTTTTTTTTCTGTTTTTCTCTAAACATATACATATTTATTTAGATTATATATCTAAATTATTATATATTATTTGCAGATACCATATATATGGTATTTGTGTGTGTGTTAGAAATAGTATTTGCTATATGGGATCCAACTGTAAATGCTTTTGCAACTTTTTGAGGGCACCTAAGAATATGTGAATCTGTTTTTCCCCTGTTAGTATTCATAGAACTGCTTCAGTTTTTTCATAGCTGTGTAGTATTTCATCGTATAGATAAACTTTGTTTACTGAACCAATCCTTGGAGGGCTATGGGGCTCAGTCCCAGTTTCCCCTGGTTTGAGCAAGTACTATAGTGAGTGCCTTCGCACATGCAGCTTTGCCCACTGGGAGGGGTCTTTTTATGCAGTAAATTCCTTGAAGTGCAATTTTTGTATCAAAGGTAACAGATTTTTAAAAAATAGACTCCAGATTTTTATTTCTTTGACTGTTCTGAAATGGGATTTTTCTGTAAATGCTTTCTGTAGCATTGGCAACACAGTATTTAGGTTATCAGACTGTATACCCCATGCACTTTGGAAAAGTTTAATGAGGACAGAGATCAATTTTAGGCCTTGTAAGAATTCTTCTTTTTCTTCGTCTTTTTTTTTTTTTTTTTTTTTGAGGCAGTAAGAAAGGTTCTCAGGAACTGTGTTTAAGGTAATTTTGGGAAACTGATTGAAACCAGTGTATTTTTCTTCAGAATCCTTGTGCATTCCTCACTTTCCCTTTCTTGGTGGCCTTGACAGGAGGAGGTGAGGCCCACCCATGAACTGGTCCAGAGTCTCATTTCCACCCATTCCACTATTGATGCCAAGATGGCTTCAAGTAGAGTGACACTGTTTTCTGATTCCAAACCACTGGTGTCAGAGGATATAGATAATCAAGGGTAAGTGTGCTGTTTTTGTGTTCTTAAAAAAAAAATTATATTACATAAGGTTATATCATACATCATTCAGCCATCATAAAACGTTTTGGTGGGATTCATTCCAGGTTGTTTGGTTTTGCTTTTTGCTTTGTACATGCTTGTATTTCTGAGGGCTCTTTACTTATGTGACATTACATGGAAGTATTTTCTTGAAATCATACGAAGGATTCAGTTTTTTAACAAACTCAGAATATTCCTTAAATTTCACAAAACCTTTTCCATAGGTTGCTTTTGTTTCTTAGGAGTCTTGAGGCCACTTGGCTTTATTTTAATGGCCAAAATAACAAGCAGAGTCAGGGAACTTTTTCAGGTTGCTGTCCAGAAGCCACATACCTTGTCTCTAAAATTTTTACTTAGATTGTGTTGTAATATCTCCTGTGGCTTAATTTCCACTAATATAGGGCTTATGTGAATTATTATCAGTCTGGGTTGGGAATTTGTATATTTATACATAGTGGGTATTTTGGTTTTATTGTAGTGGTTTATGACTGCCAATAAAAATTAGTCTGAAAATGATTGAGATCATCTGATTTATCATTTATTATAAGTATATACAAAAGCAGGAAAAATTTTTTGGAAAAAATCATCTGCTGCCCCCTAACTAGCAGATGGTATAGCATGGTAATTAAGTGCAGTGGGCCTACTAGTTTGAGGAAATCAATTAATTTCCTGATATCTCACAGGAGTTGTGATGATTAAACACAATAGTGCACATAAGCTACTTATCATGGTGCCTGACAGATAAGAAGTATCACTAAAAGATCCCTGTTATTATGATCATTATTATTAGCTCTTTTCATTTTTGAGCATTCCTGTAATTATCCTTGTGTACATGGGTACTCTAACATAGTTACAGTTATAATACAGGTAAAATTTTTATATCTATATTGTGAACATTTCCTTTTTCTATATAGTTCCTCATATATAGTCATCATTTTGTTATTATTGATGTATTCAAACATATCCATTCTCTTTTAGTACAATTTTTAGTATTTTTCTAATTGTTTTTTTTTTACAGTTTTATATAATACTGTTACATTAAATAGCTTGATAGTTTTTTATTTCATCCCATATTTTTGGCATCTTGATGATTCTTCTTTATCAAGCATTGCATTGGTGATTTCAAAATGGGAATATTCTTAGTTATTCCTTCTTCATTCGTTAGCTGGCATTCTTTAACAAAGAGCTTTCACCCCTTTATTTTAGTATCACTGTTGACGAATGGAGTTTTAAAAAAATATTTGTTATTATCCCATTACTATCATTACTCTTTGTGATGCTTATATTGTCCCTTCAGTCTGTCTTCTGTGTCCTTTTGGCGTGTCCTTGTTAGTGCTTGAGCACTTTTTGCTTTCTGACGGCAGGATGTTCCAGGCTTATTTTGTACTTTCCCTGTCTTGGACCTGCAGTCAGCCATTTCTCTAAGGATCATCTGTTTCAAGCTTGGAACTAATGGGTCTTCTAAAAGATCTGTTAAGCACTCACTTCCCTTTTGAGCAGTTTCTTTCTAAAATTAGACGTTTTTTAATAAAGTTTATCTCTTTATTTTCTCTACAAGTTCTTTTGTAGAGTGGTGTTATGGAAATATGCATGAGTTTGCTTATTAACTATTCCAGTATTTATCACATCATTCCTTTATATGCTATGTCATTTAAAGCCATTCCTTGACATTATTTTCTATTTCTTTGCATATTTATTGACTTGCAGATTAGCTGGTTATTGTACAAACAGAATTATTTTGCATTTTCTCTTTAATATAGGCTGTGGATGCCAAAAGAGGAAAAGCAGGTGGATTTAAAAACTGGTCGAGTGCGTCGGAAAGCCATTTTTGGAGATGAAGAAGATGATTCCGGAGATAGTGATGATGAAGATGATAAAGAAATGTCTGAAGGTGACAGGTTGGAAAATAGCTCTAGTGATGATGAAACAGAAGAGGGGGAAGATGCTGAAATGACTGGTAAACAGTATATGTCTGGTAAAGGTATCAAACGGCAAAAACTTGAGATGGAAGAAGACGTTGAGGTGGATTTGCCAGCGTTTGCTGACAGTGATGATGACCTTGAGAGAAGCTCAGTAGAAGAAGCAACAGAGGAAGCTGATGAAAGCATTGAAGAAGAGGATTCCACTGCAGAGGAAGAGAGGGATATTTTAGAATCAAAAGCTGTTAGAGAAGGTGGTAAGCCAGGACTGTTACACACTAATGATCTGAGTGATAGTTTGAATCTGGAGAAGTCTTTGACAATGAAAAAAGCAACCCTCACCACTTCAGATTCAGGTCATTGCACAGCTGAAGAGGCATTTGCATCTGAAGATGAATCTGAAGAAAACTCTCTCAGTACAGAGGAGGAGGACTCAGAAAATGAAGAGGTTATTAGGAAAAAGTTTCCAAAGCCTTCTCAAGTGGTCAGTAGTCAGAAACTGGGGTCAGAGAGCTTAATTGATGAGACCAGTGATATAGAAGACTTACTCAGAGAGGAAGATTATAAGGAAGAAAATGACTATTCCGCAGAGACTTCAGGTATGCTTAAATTTAATTTAACTGCCGTTACAAACTTGGCACTGAAAATGTTCTACAAATAGAGTGTCTACCATTGGGGGTCTGCTGTTTTGGAGACTTTGTTAACTGTTCAAGTATTACACCTCATTAAAGGATTTCAGGATGAATGAGTGATGAGCTTGAAGCAGAGAGGACAGACAAACAGACTTAACTGATGTCTGTGTTGGTCCTTTCAGGTGCCCTCAAGTGGAAGGAAGACCTTTCCAGGAAGGCAGCTGAGGCCTTTCTGAGGCAGCAACAAACAACTCCAAACCTTCGAAAGCTCATTTATGGGACAGGTAAAGGAGCTCTGGTTCAGATCTAGAAACATTTTAGTTTCTTAGACTACTTTCTGAAAAGGAGATGAAGAAATTGGTTAGAGGATTTGGGTGGTACTTTTGATATCCATAAGATATTCCTGGGCGTCATAGTTTATATTTGGCAGATGTTTTTAATCATCAGCTCATGAGGACCGTAAATCAGTCGTACGAAGTAGATTTATGGGTTTGCCATAAAACTTTTGATAAGAATAGTCTTCATTATGCCATTTTGTACCCCCTGTAGAAAATCCTTCATGAATTTTTTTGTAGAATTTAGTACCAGAAAAATAATTCTGCCTGAAAAGGTGTTTTTTCCTCTCTGAGAATGAGTGCTCTGTATTACTCATTCTGTTTTTTCCTTTCGCCTTTCTCCTCTGATTTTATATTTTATTAAATTTGTCTATATGTTCTTTTTGGAAAGAGCTTGACTCAGTAATGCAAAAAATAAAGTGGTGAACCTGATATTGTGGTCCCTATTTACTGTATGGTTAGAACAAGGCCAAGGAGTATATGTGAGGTAGGAGCATGGAATCGGGGGTTGGTATTTACTGACTTCCATTCAGGTTTTGTCTAAGTACTCTTAGTGATTAGAGACTCGGCACTCTTCAAGAGAAACTCTTTATTATAATTGAAAGCTCTGTCTTTAAATGTCCCCTCCCTGCCCCATCCCCCAGTATTCTCCCTCCTCAATGGACACTTTGCTGCTGCCTTGCAGGAGGGCAGATGTCCTCCATTCCTGCTCAGCAGTAGTTCCATGGCCTTTCTGTGTCTGTGGGTGATGCACTCAGGGGCACACACCATACCTACTGCAAACAGAGACCCTCAGTCCCTAGTCCTCTAGTGGGTGGATTTATTCTCACTTTTCTATCATGGTGGTCTCTTTAGTGACAGAGGATAACGAAGAAGAAGATGGTGATACCAAGGAAGAGCTCGGAGGGTTGTTTCGTGTCAGCCAGTCTGCCAGCGAGTGTAAGCACAAGGCTGACTCTTTGGACTGCTCCAGATTTCATGTGGAGGTGCCCCATGATTGGGATTTAGAGGAGGTGAGGCTGAATATAAATAGTGTGTTTGACTTATGAGAAAATTAGGGAATATTTTTAAAAGATTATGTGATTTCAGTATTGCCTACCTGTTATTTGCTTCTTATTTTTTGTGTTTTTTTTTAACATCTTCATTGGAGTATAATTGCTTTACAATGGTGTGTTAGTTTTCAACTCTTAGTGTGAATAGTATTGTTAATCTTTATTTTGAAGCATTGCACGTAGGTTTTCATACATTTGAGATACTTTGTGTTTTATAACTAGGAGATACGTAGTATCCCTGAGTTAACATTTATAATTTCTCCTATTTGTAAGCAAACAGGAATCCATGACACTGGTAAATTTTCTTCCCCCACTCATCGCCCTGTAGTTACACTAGAGAATTCATTCAGTTCTTAAACTTGCCAGGTTTAATCCCATCTTAGACCTCTTGTCTTCTGTTTTCTTTTCTGAAATGTTCTTCTGATCTTCCCAAGGCTGACTTCTTTTGATCATTCGGTTTAGCTGAAATGTCACTCCTCAGGGAGGCCCAGTGACTATCATATTATGTATTTTAATTCACTGGGTAGCACTTGTGCACTTTACGAGATTTTTATGTAAGCATTTTTTGGGTAAAATTTAATACAGATTATAGAAAACCACATAAAAGTAATTGTTTAACTTAATGGATTACTAGGTGAGTACCTCTGTAACCACCATGTGTCCATCCTAGTCATAGGCCTATCCTCCCTGCAGAAGGAATCACGACTCTTATGGTAATCATTTCCTTCTTTTCTTTATAATTTCATCCTTCAAGTGTGTATCAGTGAACACCAAAGTTTAGTTTTACCGGGTTATTTTTGTTTATTTTTCTCTATGCCTTTTAAATCTCTCAATCTACAATATTCCCCTCCACCCATCTCTTTTTTCCTTACCTTTTCACTTGTTTAAGAAACCAAGTATTTGATGTGTAGAGTTTCTCATATTCTGGATTTCCTGGGCATCCCTATGTGCGGCCTGTCAGACTTCACTCTTCTCTGTATTTCCTATAAATTGGTACAGAGCAATATCAATAGAATTGTCTATGGTGATGGGTAAAGAATTGGCTTATGTGGCTACTTGTGGCTATTGAGCACTTTAAATGTGCCTAGTGAGACAGAAGAACTAAAATTTTAATTTTATTTAAGTTTTGTTTAATTTTAATTAGAATTTAAATAACCACATGTTGTAGCTACCCTCTGGACAATGCATCTAGAAGTTTGATTAGATTTAGGTTTGAGGTTTTCGTTTTTTGTTTTCAGAGTTTTTGGCAAGACTGCTTCCTAGGTGGTGGTGATTTTTCATTAGGAGGCACATAAAATCATCTTGTGATGTTAGCTATTGATGCTCAATGCCTAGATCCATTAATTTGTTAAGGATGTAAAATGGTGATATTTTGTTCAAATTCCTCTTGTTAGCTGGAATACTTCTATAAAGAGAAACTTCTCATCTACTATTTGGTTACCCAGTTCCATATAAGCAGTATAAATGCTTGATTATTTTTATCAGTTTTCAGAACGATTCCCCAAAGGTGACTCTTTTTTTTTTTTAAGTTTTTTTTTTTAACTCATGAATTTAAATATAGTTGATGTGTTTCCTTTCACTGCGCTTGTTATCCTTGCTGATGATCATATTTATCGCATATGTGACCAGTGAGAGTCTCTTCAAATTGGGTCCTGAGTCCTTTTGACATGATCCTAGTAGTCCTTAGGTTGCTTCATTGCTGTCTGATATGATAAGGTGTTCCAGTATCGTCTTGTACATTTCTGATGCCAGACTTGGAAACAGCCATAAGAAGTCCTGATTTTTCTTAGTACAAAATGGTATTTCAACATCACAGTCTAGGTCTATGTATACTCATTGCTATGGGTCGGTCATTGTTTCTAGGCCTTTTCAGTAACCAGAGATAGGAAAATTCATACATACATTTTCAATTCAGAGTCAGGACTACAGGCTTCTTACTTAATCTCTTTTATCTTCTGTCTATATCTCTTGTTTTTCCACTGTAGAATTAGTTCCTGTTTGAACTTGAAGATGATTAAATTAGAAAATTGTGTAATTATTTGCTTTATCCCAGTTATACATAGAAGTGTCAGAATAACATTACACATGTTTCTATTAATATGATTACTAAAAACAGTTAAAGTTTTTTCCTTTATTTTAAAAAAATATATTTATTCATTTGGCTGTGCGGGGTCTTAGTTGTGGCACGCGGGATCTTCGTTGCCGTGTGCGGTATCTTTTAGTTGCAGCATACGGGATCTAGTTCCCTAACCAGGGATCAAACCCGGGCCCCCTGCATTGGGAGCACGGAGTCATAACTGCTGGACCACCAGGGAAGTCCCCTGAAGTTTTTTTCTTATATGTTCTCCCTTTTGTTTTTTCAAAAGCGGCTACACCGTTTTGCATTTCCACCAGCAGTATATATAGCTTTTGAGTCCTCCGCATTGGAATAACATCACCAACACTTGTTATTACCTGTTGTTTTTCTTGTTTTTTATTGTTATAACCATTCTAGGAGGCGTGATGTAATATCTCATTGCAGTTTTGATTTGCCTTTTCCTGATGGCTAATGATGTTAGACATCTTTTCATGTGCTTGTTTTCCATTTGTATATATTATTTGAAGAAATATCTATTCATACTATTTTCCCATTTAAAAAATTGGGTTATTTGTCTTTTTATCATTGAGTATGTATTCAGGATCCAAGTCCCTTATCAGGTATATGATTTGCAAATATTTTCTCCTATTCTGTAGGTTATCTTTTCTGTGCCATTTGAAGCACGAAGTTTTAAATTTTGATGAAGTCCAATTTCTCTGTATTTTTGTTGTTGTTGGTATCATATCTAAGAAACCATTGCCAAATCCAAAATCATGAAGATTTACTCCTATGGTTTGTGTAAGGGTTTTATAATTTAGCTCTTACGTTTAGGTCTTTGATACACTTTGAGTTAATTTTTGTATTTGGTGTGAGATGAGTCCAACTTCATTCTTTTGCATGTGGATATCTAGTTGTCCTAGCACCTGTTGAAAAGTCTGTTCTTTCCCCTATTGCCTTGTTTTGGCACCCTGGGTGAAAATCACTTGACCGTAGATACATGGGTTTATTTATGGACTCTTAATTATATTCCATTGATCTATACATCTGTCCTTATGCTAGTACCATACTATTTTGATTACTATTGTTTTGTAATAAGTTTTGAAATCACGAAGTGTGAATCCTCCAACTTTGTTCTTGTTCAAGATTGTTTTGTCTTTTCTGGATCCCTTGGGTTTTCTATATTTTAGAATCAAAGAATTCTTTGCAGAATCTTCTGCAAAGAAACCAACTGGGATTCTGATAGGGATTGCACTGACTTGGGTAGTATTGAGACCTTAACAATACCAAGTCTTCTAATCTGTTAACATGGGATGCCTTTCCATTTATTTAGATCTTTCAAGAATGTTTTATAGTTATCAGAATACAAGCTTTGCACGTCTTTTGTTGGATTTATTCCTAGTATTCTTTTTGATGTGATTGTAAAAGGAACTGTTTTTTGAATTTCATTTTTGGATATTCATTCCTAGTGTATAGAAATAAAGTTTACTATTGTGTGTATATATATATATTTATATATATATATACTTTTTTTTTTTTCTTTTTTTTTTTGGCGGTACGCGGGCCTCTCACTGTTGTGGCCTCTCCCGTTGCGGAGCACAGCCTCCGGACGTGCAGGCTCAGCAGCCATGGCTCACGGGCCCAGCCACTCCGCGGCACGCAGGATCCTCCCGGACCAGGGCACGAACCCGTGTCCCCTGCATCGGCAGGCAGACTCTCAACCACTGCGCCACCAGGGAAGCCCTACTGTTGTATATTGATCTAGTATCTTGCAATCTTGCTGAAGTCATTTATTCTGATAGTTTTTCAGTAGATTCCTTAGGGTTTTCTGTACACAAGATCATACCACCTGTGAATAGAGATAGTTTTTCTTTCTAAACTGGATGCCTTTTATTTTATTTTCTTGCCTAATGGCCCTGACTAGAACGCCTAGTACAATGTTGAATACAAGTGATGAGAGGAGACATCCTTGTCTTACTCCTGATCTTAAGGGGAAAGCTCTCAGTCTTTCACCATTAAGTGTGATGTTAACTGTGGGGTTTTTTATGGATGCCTTTTATCAGATTTAAGAAGTTCCCTTCTAAGTTTGTTGAGGGTTTTTATCTTGGAGGGTCTATTTTTTAAAATTTATTTGGTCTCTGGTTCCCCTAAGCCAATTGTTAAGCTTCACGAAAGCAAGGATCTTTTGGAACAGTTTGCCATTCAGTGCCTGCAAAGCTTCTTGGCACAGAGTAGATGTTCAGTAAATACTGAGTGATTGTAGGCATGAAGGAATGAATAAATGAGCAGATTTGCTTTTGCACCCATTGCAATCGTGCTAGCTTCAAGGCTACTCTTTGAGAGTGAGGTTGTATCTGAAAAATGTGAATCATGATCAAAATGTGATTGAAAGCCGGGACCCATGTGAAGATTTCTTTATGTGTGCTTTTGAGCCCTTGGCAGTGACTGACATGTGCTGTCCTAAGTCAGGTTCCCCAGGAAGCAGTCTGAAATAGAGAGTTGTGTACAAGTTTTAGCCTGTATTTGAGAGGTGCATCCAGCATCCACTACATGTGTGTACTGGATGATCTGGCAGATCTGGGACTGGGAGCCTCATCAATACTCTTTGTACTGTTGGGCTCATACAAGACATTTTGTCTTTGGCAGAGGAATTACGTTTTCAAACAGCCATGATAAGTCTGGATTAAAGAATTAGTAAATATCTGTTTGTTTACTTATGAAGTCATTGGGCTGACGTTATTTTCCCTATCCACTGGTTAATGCTATAATATTAATGTTTTTATATCTGTTGTTATACTATATACATCAAAGTTATTTCATAGGCCCACTTGGAATGAAAATATCCATAGAACTGTCTTGAAAAGTATTTAAAGGCAAATTGTCACCTACTGTTTCTCAAAGCAGTTATTTATTGAATGATTGGAGCCTGTCAACTAAGCTGACTTTTCTGTATAAGGTTATGAACAGTATCAGAGATTGCTTCGTGACTGGGAAGTGGGAAGAGGATAAAGATGCAGCCAAGATCTTAGCAGAAGATGGTAAGTAAACGGCTGTATTCTTCAGAGAAGACTGCCTTCTCTCTATATTATTTTCTTCCATATCTTTAATAGTCAACTTGAAAATATTAGTCACTTGTGAAATGGCTTGGGGAACTCTGACAAGAGTTCTGACAGGAGTAACATTCTAGTTCCTCCTTTCATGATGGTCTTATTTTCTCCCTCTGGTTAGTTGACTTATTAGATATGGACATTGAAGAAGAGTGGGAAGCTCTCCATAAATTTTATCATGCATTGTTAAAAATAGTAATTCTTGTTTATGTGCTGTGGTTAGATTCACGTTAAGATTCAGGTTAAGCATTTTTGGCAGGCATGCATAGGTATGTAGAGGCTTCCTAAGAAACATTTTCAGTTTCTTCTATGGTCATTGGTCAAATTTGCTTTTCTTGTAGTGGTGGTTGTGGTTTTTGTGTTTATATTTTGACATTTTCATGAGATTTTTTTTTTTTTTTTTTTTTTTTTTGCGGTACGCGGGCCTCTCACTGCTGTGGCCTCTCCCGTCGCGGAGCACAGGCTCCGGACGCGCAGGCTCAGCGGCCATGGCTCACGGGCCCAGCCGCTCTGTGGCATGTGGGATCTTCCCGGACCGGGGCACGAACCCGTGTACCCTGCATCGGCAGGTGGACTCTCAACCACTGCGCCACCAGGGAAGCCCATGAGATATTCTTCATAATATTTTCTGACAAGACTTTCAGTGAAATTTTGAATTTATAACAGAATAAAGCGCTCATCTGTTATTTGCACTTTCTCATTTCTAACATTGTTCCTTTTTTTTGTGTTTTAGTTACATTTGCACATTCTCTATTTTGTTAGATCCAAAACTTTTGGATTGATTTTTCATTTTACTATTTTTCTCATGATTAAAAAATTAACAAGGTTTGATTTTTTTTCTTTTTCTTGTCTTTGTTAGTTGTAGGATTAGAAAAGGAATTTTTTGGTTTTGTTTTCAAGGAAAGCACTTTTAAAAATTAAGGTATAGCTTAATGTTCAACCTAATATATTTTGACAATTACATACATTTATATCCATCACCCAAAACGAGAATAAGAACATTTCTGTCACACCCTAAATGTTTTTCTGTGTCCTTTGCAGTCAGCACCCACCCCCTACCCCAGGCAGCCACTTTTGGATTTCTGTCACCATAGATTTGTTTTGCCTGATCTTGGACTTCATACAGATGTAGTCAGACAGTATGTATTTTTTAGTGTTTGGGTTCTTTCCCTCAACACAGTGTTTTACTTTTTGATAAATCAACCTTGTTGAGATATGTTTTACATACAGTTAAGTATACCTGTTTTAAGAATATTCTTATTTGGCTAGTTTAGACAATTGTATATGTTCATGTACTACCATTACAATCAAGAAATAAAGTATTTCCATCACCACAGAAAGAACCCTCATGCCCCTTTGCAGTCAGTCCCTACTCCCACCATCACAGCAGTCCCAAGGCAACCAATGATCTGCTTTCTCTCACTATAAATTAGTTTTGCCTTTTCTAGAATTACATAATAAAAATACTCTCTTTTGTCTGTAGATTCTTTTACTTAGCATACTGTTTTTGAGGTTCATTCATATTATAATTTGTTTCTTCTTATTGCTGAATAAGTATTCTGTTGCATGGGTATGCCAATTGTTTATCCATTTTTCTCTTGATGGCCATTTAGGTTGTTTCCAGTAGTTGACTATTACAATTAAGGCTGCTCTGAACATTCACGTATAGGTCTTTTTTTGTGGAAATTGGTTTTCATTTCTCCTTGGTAATACCTAGGAGTAGAATGGCGGAACTATGGGGTGGGTAGATGGACAACCAACTTGATAAGAAACTAACAGAGTTTGACTCCATTTTTAATGTTAGACTGATGACAGCTCTTAAGCCCCACCTGTTCTGTCCCCCTTTCTGTCCTACATCTGGGCAAGCTGATAAAAAAGCCAAGTTGTTCCTCTTTTGGCATCAGGAGGGAGTTCAAACCATATACACTCCAGCTGTCACCAAAGCCCCACCACCTCCTAACTACCAATAGCTCAAGCTATTCTCCTTTTCCGCCCGCTCTCCCAAGTTGTATTTGAACTAGCTTGGGAGGTCTGCCCAACTCTCCCCAAAAAGTCTCATTATGTGAATTATAAATCTTTCCATATCCTCTTGATTCATGTGTGTGTCATCTGTCTCAATATGCAAACCATATTTTGGGTGGGAGGTTCATCCTGTCTCTGTGGGTTGATTACAAAGTAAACTGCCCCACAGTTCTTCAAAGAGAACTCCAGCAGTGGATGACAATTTCAGTTCACATCCTAGTGGGTGTGAAATAGTATCTCGTGGTTTTAATTTGTAATTCCCTGATGACTAAGGACGTTGCGTATCTTTTCATGTGCATATTGGCCAATTTAATATCTTCCTTTGTGAGGTATCCATTTAAGTCTTTTGCTTATTTTTTTAAAGTTTATAATAGTTTACATTTAGAGAAAAATTGTGAATATAGTACAGAGTTCCCACATACCTCACACCCAGTTTGCCCGATTATTATCATCTTACATATGGATGGTACGTTTGTCACAATTAATGAACAGAGCACTAACAAAATCTTGGGTCTCTGCCAGTTTGAGCACCTTTCTGTGTTTTAGGGGGCCATTTGTATTTCCTTCCATGACTGTCTTTGAATATGCTTTGCCCATTTTCTATTGGGTTATTGTTGATATTTTTTCATACTTACTTATAAGAATTTTTTATATATTAGAGAAATAAGTCTTGTGATATGAGGTGCCACATTTAACCCCCTTATTTTAACATTTGTATTTTAACTTTATGATTCTTTCATGTGGAATTTTTTTTTTTTTAATGAAGTTAGATTTATCAGTTTTGCCTTAAATGACTTTTGGGATTTGTCTTATACTTAAAAAGGTCTTTTGTAAAAAAAAAAAAAAAAAAAAAATCTAAAAAAGGAGAAGAAAAATCTTCCATTGTTTTTTCTAGTGCCTCCTGATTTCCTTTTTTTTTTTTTTTTTTTTTAGCATTTAAATCACCGACTCATCTGCTGTTTATTTTAGTGTGAGTTGAGAGGCATAGATAGAGTTTTTCCCAGGTGGCCACCAGGTTCTTTCCAATACTATTTGTTCTTTTCCCAACTGATTAAAATGCTCTTTTTGTCATATTCTTAATTGATAGATATAGAAAAAAGTTTTTGGACTTTTCTAGTTTATGTCATTGATTTCTGTTGGTTCATTCATCATTGCTATGTTTAAAACCCTTATATAGCTTTATAGTATGCTATTAAGACACCAACTATTAAAACTGGTATGACTGGTTCCTATCTCTCCCTGTCTCTGCTAGGTTTTTTAGAATTCTTCCGACGATTCTCTTACTTATTTTTCCACAGAAACTTAAGAATCATCTTTTCCGTTTCCAAAAGAAAGTGTGGTGGATTTGTGTCTTTTATAGTAGCTGTATTGAGGTTTAATGGATATACAGTAAACTGCACATATTTAAAGTGTACAGTTTGATAAGCTTTGACATGAGTATACAATCACCACAATCAAGATAATGAACATACTTTTCACCCCAAAAGTTTCCTCATGCCACTTGTTATCCCTCCCTTCTGTCCTTTCCCTATTACCAGGTAACCACTCTTCTGCTTTCTGTCACTATACAAGAGTTTGTATCCTCTGTAATTTGATATAAATGGAATCATACGGTATGCAGTCTTTTCTAACTTATTGTACTCAGCATAATCGTTTTGAGATTCATCCATGCTGTTGCATCTTCATTCCTCTTTATTGCTGTGTAGTTAATTTCTTTTTATTGGTGAGTAGTATTCCATTGTATAATGCAATACAGTTTGTTTATCTGTTCACCTTTTGATCGACATTTATGTTATTTCCAGTTTGGGGCTATTGCAAATAAAGCTACTGTGAACATTCTTCTACAAGTCTTTGTATGAACAACTGCATTCATTTCTCTTGGGTACATATCTCAGAGTGGACTAAATGAATCATATGGTAGATGTAGTTCTAATTTTTTTTAAGAAATAGCCAAATTGTTTTCCTTAGTGGTTGTACCATTTTGCATTGCCACTAGCACTTTATGAGACTTCCAGTTGCTCCACATCCTTGCCAGTGCTTGATATGTTGGTCTTTTTAATTTTAGACACTTTTTAAGGTTTAGAGTGGTATCTCATTTTATTTTCCTAATGATTAATGATAATGAGCCTTTTTTTACATGCATATTTGCCATCTGTGTTTCTTCAGTGAAGTGTCTGTCAAATCTTTTGCCCATTATTTTACTTTGGTTGTGTGTTATTATTGAAGTTTAATTCTAAATTACTTTTGATACAATCCTTTATCACATGGAATTTGCAATTTTTGCCCATTGTGTAACAAAGACCATCATATATGATCTGTGAATGAAGACAGTTATACTTCTTTCTGTGCCATCTGGATGACTTATTTTTCTTGTCTTAGTACACTGGCTTAAACTTGTTGATTAGAAGTGGTCAAAATAGACTATATACATATTGTAATATTACACCTACTGTTAACCAACATTTTACCACTTTGAGTAACATGTGGAAACTTTTCTTCCATTTAGGCCCTTTTATCTTCCCCACTTAAAAAGATTTTTTTTTATTATTATGTAAGTTACAGATGTACAATATAGTGATCCACACTTTTAACAGGTTATACTCCATTATAGTTATTATAAAATATTGGCTATATTCCCTGTGTTGTACGGGGAATATATCCTTGTAGCTTATTTTATACCTAATAGTTTGTACTTCTTAATTCCCTACCCCTCTATTGGCCCTCCCCACTTCCCTCTTCCCACTGGTAACCACTAGTTTGTTCTCTGTATCTGTGAGTTTGCTTTTTTTTTTGTTATATTTAGTAGTTTGTTGTAGTTTCCCCACTTTTAAATATTGGCTTGAATATTAGATAGTGGTATAATTTTTTTGACTATGAAATATGATTTTACAAATTCATAAGCTGGATAG